GTCACTTTTGTACTGAGGTCATTGTGTCACCTTTGTACTGAAGTCGTGTCACCTTTGTACTGAAGTCATTGTGTCACCTTTGTACTGAAGTCATTGTGTCACCTTTGTACTGAAGTCATTGTGTCACCTTTGTACTGAAGTCATTGTGTCACCTTTGTACTGAAGTCATTGTGTCACTTTTGTACTGAAGTTATTGTGTCACCTTTGTACTGAAGTCATTGTGTCACTTTTGTACTGAAGTCATTGTGTCACTTTGATCTATCTTAAAGCACGGTAGACTGTATATTGAACTAGATAACGTCATCCTGCAGTATTTAGAACATTCACGAGAGAAGACTAGTTCTCTTAATTAACCCCTAGGCTCTCTGTACAGGTGTATATACATGTGTACATATCAGCGCTTCAGGTGTTAATTAACAAATTTTACCTTTAGTTGCCCTGTATCTCACCACTGATGATTTATCTAGGTGTTATACAAAGTATGCTATTCATCAGAAAGTATATATCTGCATACAGGAGCCCCCCCCCCCCCCCCCCCCGATTTATAGCTCATCAACGATGGGTAATTTTAAAAAAGAAAATCGGTATTGCTACATTTTTAAACTCTGAGATATACAAATGTATATAAATAAATAAAAAATAAATAAAAACAAACAAGTCAAAACATTGTGTCATTTTTTCTGATTGATTGTTTTTGTATATAATTCAGTTTAACAATAAAGTCACTTGTAAAACTAATGATGTAATTGTATCGACTGGCATCCTCTACCGGAAGAAAGAAGAAAAAGCAGAAGAAGAAAAAGAAGAAGAAGGAAAAGCAGAAGAGGGAGGAGGAGGAATAGGAGGAGAGGAAATGAGGAGGATAAGGAAATGAGGAGGAGGAGATAAAGAGGAGGAGGAGGAAATGAGGAGAAGGAGGAGGAGGCGGAGGAGGAGGAATAGGAGGAGGCGGAGGAGGAAATGAGGAGGAGGAGGAGGAATAGGAGGAGGAGGAAAAGGAGGAGGAGGAGGAATAGGAGGAGGAGGAAACGAGGAGGAGAAGGAATAGGAGGAGGAAACGAGAAGGAGGAATAGGAGGAGGAGGAGGAAAAGGAGGAGGAGGAATAGGAGGAGGAGGAGGAATAGGAGGAGGAGGAGGAAATGGACGATGAGTAAATTAAGCTGATAAGGAGGAGGATGAATGGACGATGAGTAAATTAAGGAGGAGGACGAATGGACTATGAGTAAATTAAGCTGATAAGGAGGAGGACGAGTGGACGATGAGTAAATTAAGGAGAAGGACGAGTGGACGATGAGTAAATTAAGGAGGATAAGGAGGAGGACGAATGGACGATGAGTAAATTAAGGAGGATAAAGAGGAGGACGAATGTACGATGAGTAAATTAAGGAGGAGAACGAATGGACGATGAGTAAATTAAGCTGATTAGAAGGAGGATGAATGGACGATGAGTAAATTAAGGAGAAGGACGAATGGACGATGAGTAAATCAAGCTGATAAGGAGGAGGACGAATGAACGATGAGTAAATTAAGCTGATAAGGAGGAGGACGAATGGACGATGAGTAAATTAAGCTGATAAGGAGGAGGATGAATGGACGATGAGTAGATTAAGGAGGAGGACGAATGGACGATGAGTAAATTAAGGAGGAGAAGGAGGAGGATGAATGGACGATGAGTAAATTAAGGAGGATGGCGAATGGACGATGAGTAAATTTAGGAGGATAAGGAGGAGGACGAATGGACGATGATTAAATTAAGGAGGAGGACGAATGGACGATGAGTAAATTAAGCTGATAAGGAGGAGGATGAATGGACGATGAGTAAATTAAGGAGGATGGCGAATGGACGATGAGTAAATTAAGGAGGACGAATGGACGATGAGTAAATTAAGGAGGATAAGGAGGAGGACGAGTGGACAATGAGTAAATTAAGGAGGAGGACGAGTGGACAATGAGTAAATTAAGGAGGATAAGGAGGAGAACGAGGGGATGATGAATAAATTAAGGAGGATAAGAAGGAGGACGAGTGGACGATGAGTAAATTAAGGAGTAGGACGAGTGGACGATGAGTAAATTAAGGAGGATAAGGAGGAGGACGAATGGACGATGAGTAAAATAAGGAGAAGGACGAGTGGACGATGAGTAAATTAAGGAGGATAAGGAGGAGGACGAGTGGACGATGAGTAAATTAAGGAGGATAAGGAGGAGGACGAATGGACGATGAGTAAATTAAGGAGAAGGACGAGTGGACGATGAGTAAATTAAGGAGGATAAGGAGGAGGACGAATGGACGATGAGTAAATTAAGGAGGAGAAGGAGGAGGACGAATGGACGATGAGTAAATTAAGGAGGAGAAGGAGGAGGACGAATGGACGATGAGTAAATTAAGGAGGAGGACGAGTGGACGACGAGTAAATTAAGGAGGATAAGGAGGAGAACGAATGGACGATGAGTAAATTAAGGAGGATAAGGAGGAGAACGAGTGGACGATGAGTAAATTAAGGAGGATAAGGAGGAGGACGAGTGGACGATGAGTAAATTAAGGAGGATAAGGAGGATGACGAACGGACGATGAGTAAATTAAGGAGGATAAGGAGGAGGACGAGTGGACGATGAGTAAATTAAGGAGGATAAGGAGGAGAACGAGGGTATGATGAGTAAATTAAGGAGGAGGACGAGTGGACGATGAGTAAATTAAGGAGGATAAGGAGGAGGACGAATGGACGATGAGTAAATTAAGGAGGATAAGGAGGAGGACGAATGGACGATGAGTAAATTAAGGAGGAGGACGAATGGACGATGAGTAAATTAAGGAGGATAAGGAGGAGGACGAGTGGACGATGAGTAAATTAAGGAGGAGGACGAGTGGACGATGAGTAAATTAAGGAGGATAAGGAGGAGAACGAATGGACGATGAGTAAATTAAGGAGGATAAGGAGGAGAACGAGTGGACGATGAGTAAATTAAGGAGGATAAGGAGGAGGACGAGTGGACGATGAGTAAATTAAGGAGGAGGACGAATGGACGATGAGTAAATTAAGGAGGATAAGGAGGAGGACGAGTGGACGATGAGTAAATTAAGGAGGAGGACGAGTGGACGATGAGTAAATTAAGGAGGATAAGGAGGAGAACGAATGGACGATGAGTAAATTAAGGAGGATAAGGAGGAGAACGAGTGGACGATGAGTAAATTAAGGAGGATAAGGAGGAGGACGAGTGGACGATGAGTAAATTAAGGAGGATAAGGAGGAGGACGAATGGACGATGAGTAAATTAAGGAGGATAAGGAGGAGAACGAGGGTATGATGAGTAAATTAAGGAGGATAAGGAGGATGACGAACGGACGATGAGTAAATTAAGGAGGATAAGGAGGAGGACGAGTGGACGATGAGTAAATTAAGGAGGATAAGGAGGAGAACGAGGGTATGATGAGTAAATTAAGGAGGAGGACGAATGGACGATGAGTAAATTAAGGAGGATAAGGAGGATGACGAACGGACGATGAGTAAATTAAGGAGGATAAGGAGGATGACGAACGGACGATGAGTTAATATTAAAGAGGATAAGGAGAAGGACGAGAAGGAGGTGAAAGAGAGATCGATGACGAGGAGGAGTGGGTGAAAGAGAGGTCGAGAAGGAGGAGGAATGGGGTTGGGGCTTCACCTTAAAATATCAAAATGTGGCTGACCAGCAAATAAATAAACAAACAAACTTTAGGAGAGAGGAGAAAAGATCAAAACTCGGTATAATATATCCATTATTTGTTTCTTAAATGTGTTCGTTATTTCGATCTCGAGTTCCGTTTTAACTAAAAAAAAAACACATCTAATTCGGACCCAGGTTTTTCTTATTTGTACATTGTTTAATACAATTAAAATAATGTTGCTTTAACACTTAATCTCGAAAAAAATGTTCCTCGTAAAGAAAAGTGTTCCTCGTAGTCTGAAAAAAAAAACTTATTGTTTAATTATAATTCAACAATGTTTGAAACTCACATTCAATAAGTGGTTTGTTTAGGAAGTATATGTGTTTTCAATTACTGGAAATTGTCCTTCGAAAATAAATCACACGGTAAAGAATATCCTTATGTGTTGTTATATATTTGTTTACAATCTTATCCACTGATATCTACACTTTATCTCCTCTGGAAAAAATCCAATTATCACCGTGTAGTCCTCCTGAGATATCGGCCTTGTGACCCTTCCGTCATCAACCTAGATAATTGCACTTACTTAGCTGTTTTATCTGATTATGATACTTATATGGGAAATCATAATCTATATCTGTGTTATAAATTATGCTTAACAGTTTCGCTAATTTATACACAAACACGTAAGCGTCCAAGCTGATATTGTCAGTTAGGTCGAATCAAGCGCTAAGTGAACACAGGTCGTTCACAGAAATGTTTCGAAATGATTAAAAAAAGTGTGAATGAATGGAATACATCTCCATGTCGAGTTGTGATATGGTGTCAACATTGAATTAAAGATTGTGCTAGTATGACAGAAATAACTCATTCTTGTTTGTAAACAAATATTTTTGTTTACACGATCCTGTGGTCAAGTAAATATCACGTTATCATTGATAGAGTCGTAGTTTTTTGCTGACATTTTCGCGGGAATAAGCACCCCACTTTGACCTCGTGTTTGCCAGAGCCATTCCATTTATTGTACAACCGCCCTAGAAAACCTCGACCTCCATCTTGCAATAATTTAAAAGTGGCGCATGCTCAATACTAAAGAAATCGACAATGATAACAAAAAAAATATGCTCTTTCTTCTTGTTCCGCTTTTATTCGTTCTGACTCCGTGTTAATTCTAAGGGATGTCCATTCTGTTTCCGGAGGTTTTCCTTGGACCGCCATACTAACGCGCTCGAATGATCAGCCCTGGTTTACGAGAATGTAACACGGTTCACCGACCACATTCATTCTGTGAGCAATTCTGATGTATTAGACTCTGGTTTGGTTTACAGTGAATATTTTCCTCATGTTTTTTCATATATGGCGTCCCCACTTCTATATATTGTCGCTTTGTGTACGATAATTCTACTGGATTTGCCCGTTCAAGGTAAGTGCCATGTTTCTTCTTCAGAATTTGGCGTGAGCCGTGTAGACATGACCTGTGCTACGCTACAAAAACAACATGTCGGTCGAGAGCCAGTGTAGCCTAACCTTTTGTGCTTCTTCGATTGACCAACCACTTCTATTCGCTTTATGACGACTATTTTGGCCCGTTGATCTAAACATCTTGTCTATTAACGTGTCAAGATGGTGTTTTAAGTAGTATAATATCTCATTTGGTGTTTGTTTTGATTTTTTTACTCTCTTCACGAGAGCAGTATGTGTATTGTACTCGATGGGCGAAAAAAATGAGAGCAGTTTGTAGGTTAAATGTCGATCGTATCGTGACTGTTTTCATTTAAGAAAGTGTGTATATTGGTTTATTTATTGATGTTTAGAATGGTATCTGTTTTAATTATTGTAAACAATCGCATGTGAATATTTTAGCATGAAAAATTCAACGGACGACACGTGTGATAATGCATACACACTGCATCGACCCATCATGTGTGTTTTCGTAACTAGATCAAGCAAGTTGACCACCTCGTTTTCTAGTGGCTACTTTGTGTGAAATTTATACTTCAAAATAAGATTAATGCTATCGTTATCGATTATTTACGTTCTGTGGAATCCAACAGTAGGGGTTAGAAAAGATTTGTAAGACACCAGATCTATTGTGTTTTGTCGAGTGATATTTTCTGGGTCAAAATTGTTCGGGCAAGGTTAGAACCGGCTACCCTCGCATGACCCGCTTAGCATGGGAAGCCATTTTGGAAAAAAACTGAAAATCGCCAGTACTGTTGTTTACGAACAGTTAGGTGCGGAACCGATATACATTTGTCAATTGGTTGATTTAGTGATAATATCAGACGAGGGTCGAATTTTTGTTCGTGTTTTTATTTCAGTGAAAGCATTGCCTTATGCAGATATGAAAGTGAATATTTCTATTACTTTGTTGCCGTGCTGGTCATGTTTGGTATTATGACGAAACACATATTTTAAAATACTTTGTAGCCAATATTCTGGGAGGCAGATTTTGGTAGCAATTGAAGAATTTGTATGAACATAGTGTAAATATATCGATTTTTTTGTGGAAGATGTCTATTTTTAGGTTTTGCTTAGAAAACACACATTGCTGAAGGAGTGTACAAAAAAAAATCAATTTTATCCGTTATATTCATGGAAACAAGCAGAGATGAGCATTGGAGTTTTCTTGTTACATCGACATTGAATGCTCTCTTCTCTCTGAGGCTGAGGACACAAAGACATCACTGTTTTGATTGTGTTAGCATGAGAGTTGTGTCCAGATTGATATTTCACCTTTAACTTAAGAGAGGTAGTGCATTCAGTCTTATAAAAAATTTAATTTGTGAAATGGTTATGTATGTTTGCATTATATGTAATGCTATAAAATTATTTATGTTATTTTAATTGTGCAATAAAAAAATTAATTTGTAACAAAATGCTTGTTCAAGATGAACAGTATGATGTGCGTTGATAAGATTTTAATCTTGTATATATAAATAAATCTTCAAAACTGATATTAATTAACTTTGATAAATCATTTCCTAAATAATATTTCAATAATTTATTTCCAAAATATGCAATGACAAATTATCATTTAAGTAATTTTAAATATACAATTTAATTTTTTAAAATTAATTGATGAATCAAATTTCTCTTGATTGATCTTGAAACAGAGTCATAAAATGTAAACATTCACAGATGGTGATTTGTGAGAAAGTAAGATAAGACATCAAAAAGTGGAAACACAAGTGTTTATATTAAAATTGTGTGGGGTTCTCCCTGTATATGTAGATTCAGGGCACCTGCTGCATCTCAAGTTTGGGGGCAGAAATGAATATTTTGTAATATTTTTGTACCATTTGTTATCAAAGAATTTAGAAAACAGTTGATGCAGGGTGAAATTTAAGGTGAAAACCTACTCTTCATGGTGTAAATGGGACATTTGACATTGTATCAAATAATAGTATTCCCTATCTGATTTTATCAGCACCACTGTACCTTTCTACCAATAAGCTGGTGTCTGATTATAAGCCCACCCAAGAATATTCTTAAATAAGAAAATGTGCACCACCCAACTCCCAGACTTCGAGTAGTAATATGTAATTTGTTGACCTCTGGGCTTCTGTAATAAGCCCACCTCATGACTTTGAGTAAGAAGTAACATGTTGACCCCTGGGGTCCAGTTAATAGCCTACCCCTGACTCTGAGTAAGAAGTAATGTGTTGACCTAAGGGCTCCTGTAATAAGCCCACTCCTGATTTTGAGTAATTAGTAATGTGTTGACCCCTGGGTCCTGTAATAAGTTATATGTTTGGTGATTGTTAAAATACTTGAGTTCATTAAAAATGTCGCAGGAAAGTAGTTTGTACTTAGCAAGGGCTTTTTCTACTCATGAAGGTTTTTTATATTTCATTTAGACGAGGGTATGTTATGGTTGAATGGACAATAGTAGAATATGGAAATTTTAACATCAATCCCACTGATCTGTGTTTTAATTGTAACATGTGTGTTTCATATTTAACATGTACATTGAGGACATTGAACTAGTGTGTTATTTATTCAATACATAGAAACATATTTTCACACATCTGTTAAGGTTATGATGACATTGTCAATATCGGACTGCTCTGTCATGTGATTTAATCAATATCTTTGCTTCGTGAATTAAACTGGTACAACATAGATACACAAAGGGAAAAAAACCTGTTGCAGGAATTAAATGATACTTTGGTTGAAAGTATCAAAATTTGCTGAAAGATTGTTGTTGTGGCTACATTGATGGCTTGATTTAAAAGTCCTTTCTCTAAAGTTTGATACAGATATTTATATCTGCATCCATAAGACCTCCAATTTAAGTTGCTGTACAATAAAGTTACAAATTAATGTTATTTCATCATCCTGTAATATTTGTGGTCCCAGTTTGTGAATCATTACAATTTCTTTTTGAATAGGTCACTAAGACATCACATCTGTAATAAGCAGGAATATCATTAACTCTTTACAAGTGTGTGACTGTCTTTCTCTTGACAAGTGTGTGACTGTCTCTCTCTTGACAAGTGTGTGACTGTCTCTCTCTTGGCAAGTTTGTGGCTGTCACTCGCTTGACAAGTGTGTGACTTTCTCTCTTGACAAGTGTGTGACTGTCTCTCTCTTGGCAAGTTTGTGGCTGTCACTCTCTTGACAAGTGTGTGACTGTCTCTCTCTTGACAAGTGTGTGACTGTCTCTCTCTTGACAATTGTGTGACTGTCTCTGTCTTGACAAGTGTGTGACTGTCTCTCTCTTGACAAGTCTGTGGCTGTCACTCTCTTGACTATTGTGTGACTGTCTCTTTCTTGACAAGTTTGTGACTGTCTCTCTCTTGACAAGTGTGTGACTGTCTCTCCCTCGACAAGTGTGTGACTGTCTCTCTTGACAAGTGTGTGACTGTCTCTCTTAACAAGTGTGTGACTGTCTCTCTGTTGACAATTGTGTGACTGTCTCTCTCTTGACAAGTGTATGACTGTCTCTCTCTTGACAGTTGTGTGACTGTCTCTCTCTTGACCAGTGTGTGACTGTCTCTCTTGACAAGTGTGTGACTGTCTCTCTCTTGACAAGTGTGTGACTGTCTCTCTTGACAAGTGTGTGACTGTCTGTTGACATGTGTATGACTTTCTCTCTTGACAAGTGTGTGACTGTCTCTCTCCTGACAAGTGTGTGGCTGTCTCTTTCTTGACAAGTGTGTGACTGTCTCTCTCCTGACAAGTGTGTAACTGTCTCTGTTGACAAGTGTGTGACTGTCTGTCTTTTGACAATGTGTGACTGTCTCTCTCCTGACAAGTGTGTGACTGTCTCTGTTGACAAGTGTATGACTGTCTTTCTTTTGACAAGTGTGTGACTGTCTTTTGACATGTATATGACTTTCTCTCTTGACAAGTGCATGACTGTCTGTCTTTTGACAAGTGTGTGACTGTCTGTCTTTTGACAAGTGTGTGACTGTCTTTTGACATGTATATGACTTTCTCTCTTGACAAGTGTGTGACTGTCTCTCTCCTGACAAGTGTGTGGCTGTCTATCTTGGCAAGTGTGTGACTGTCTCTCTCTTGGCAAGTTTGTGGCTGTCACTCGCTTGACAAGTGTGTGACTTTCTCTCTTGACAAGTGTGTGACTGTCTCTCTCTTGACAAGTGTGTGACTGTCTCTCTCTTGACAATTGTGTGACTGTCTCTGTCTTGACAAGTGTGTGACTGTCTCTCTCTTGACAAGTCTGTGGCTGTCACTCTCTTGACTATTGTGTGACTGTCTCTTTCTTGACAAGTTTGTGACTCTCTCTCTTGACAAGTGTGTGACTGTCTGTCTTTTGACAAGTGTGTGACTGTCTTTTGACATGTATATGACTTTCTCTCTTGACAATTGTGTGACTGTCTCTCTCCTGACAAGTGTGTGGCTGTCTATCTTGGCAAGTGTGTGACTGTCTCTCTCTTGGCAAGTTTGTGGCTGTCACTCGCTTGACATGTGTGTGACTTTCTCTCTTGACAAGTGTGTGACTGTCTCTCTCTTGACAAGTGTGTGACTGTCTCTCTCTTGACAATTGTGTGACTGTCTCTGTCTTGACAAGTGTGTGACTGTCTCTCTCTTGACAAGTCTGTTGCTGTCACTCTCTTGACTATTGTGTGACTTTCTCTTTCTTGACAAGTTTGTGACTGTCTCTCTCTTGACAAGTGTGTGACTGTCTCTCCCTCGACAAGTGTGTGACTGTCTCTCTTGACAAGTGTGTGATTGTCTCTCTTAACAAGTGTGTGACTGTCTCTCTGTTGACAATTGTGTGACTGTCTCTCTCTTGACAAGTGTATGACTGTCTCTCTCTTGACAGTTGTGTGACTGTCTCTCTCTTGACCAGTGTGTGACTGTCTCTCTTGACAAGTGTGTGACTGTCTCTCTCTTGACAAGTGTGTGACTGTCTCTCTTGACAAGTGTGTGACTGTCTGTTGACATGTGTATGAC